AATTCTTATATTAGCTTTAGTGTAATTGAAAATACTTGAATGAATCAATTGTGTTTATTTTCCAGGTCTTCCTGAAAAGTATTACAGTTTAACCTGGTTTCTCAGTCCTATCCTGGGTCTCCTCTTCACACCTCTGATTGGCACAGCCAGTGACCGCTGTAGCCTGCGATGGGGCAGGAGAAGACCGTTCATTCTGGGTCTTTGTGTAGGTGTACTGCTGGGAGTGGCACTGTTTTTAAATGGTTCATTAATAGGTGAGTGCAAGGCTTCAAGGGAGATAATCTGCTAACAAATCATAAAAAATGCAGTTCAGCAAATCCGGTCTGTGTATATTTTGTGGTATTCTCTTCAGGCCTTTCCGTCGGCGACACTCCCAATAAGCATACTATCGGCATCGTTCTTACTGTGCTGGGCGTGGTGGTGCTGGACTTCTGCGCTGATGCCTCAGAGGGACCAATCAGAGCTTATCTGCTGGATGTTGCAGACACAGATGAGCAAGATATTGCGCTGAACATTCATGCATTCTCTGCTGGTAAGTCTATGTAGATTTTTGGAGGTTTCGTTCTCAACATTCACAAGACTGTGAACCAGGAATTCATTCAGCGGGGATCAGACTGTCAACATTCTTAGATATCTGGACATCAACACACAGTTCACCACGCATACTACAGCTACTTCGTCCTCTTTCCCAGAATGAAATCTAAGTTGAAGGCTCACCTCTTTGACACAGTGGAGGAAAGACATGGACCGTGTAATTTGAATGTTCACATGGATGCAGAAAGCGAATGTTCTGAACATTATCAAATCTGAATGCATGCATAATGTTAGGATTACAGTTGCACAACCCTCCATACATATTTACAAATAATAATGCTACACTAATCCCCTTATACCTGTCTCTTTAGGGCTTGGTGGAGCAATAGGATACATGCTTGGAGGTCTAGACTGGACTGGCACAGCTCTGGGCCAAGCATTTCAATCACAGGAGCAGGTTCTCTTCATGTTTGCAGCCATCGTCTTTATTATCTCTGTCGCACTGCACATGTTCAGTATCCCTGAGCAGCCCTTCAGTCCATCAAACCAGGTTAAAGACACAGAAAATGGGGATTCTACTGGCCAGGTATCTTTGAAGCCAGCTGGCCGCACACTGGATGTAATTACAGAAGAGGATGCTTCTGCTCGAGCTCGATCCAGAGACGACCCTGAATCAGATCCTAAGGAAGTGGAAATTGACTTTCTTGCTGTGGAGCGAGTAAGGAGTAAAAGTGATTCAGTCTTAGCCATGCCAGATGCTACAATTGAGTTAGATGCAGACCTTGACCCAGACACACAAAATTTCTTGCCAGAGACACACTTTCAACCTGAAATGCAAGAAGAGCTTGAAGATGTTTTCAAACTATCAGATTCCAGTGCTGAAGCCCCACCTTCTTTCGGACCACAACCCCCTCCTGATGGGATTGCCGACGTGACGCCTATAAGTTCAGTTTTATCTGAACTTAAAGATTCAGCAAATGGTCATCCGTCCTTCCAGCAGACCAACTGGGGCTCAGAGGATTCCCAGTTGAAACTGGTAAAATGGCTGCTGTGATCAAATATGGTTTTTGTTTGTTTTTTAGCTTATGGTAACTTTGAGACAAACAGTAATTTGTACCACACTGCCTCTCTCTTCTGTCCTAGCAGGCCAAACCTGCCAATGGTTCTGAGTTCCCCAGTGTTATGAAAACCCATGGCACCAAGCCGGGAAACCATACATCCAGTACACGGCCAGGCAGACCCACCTACTACAGACAAGTATGGTTTAATTTATTGTTTAATCTTTAATTGACAACATAGGTTATTTTGCAGATGTATAAAAACTGATTTTGGTGGGTTTTGTCTCTTCAGCCCTCATTTACCTTTTCATATTATGGTCGAGTTGGAGCACAACGGCATCGAATGCGACACACAGGACATTTCACCCCTCGGCCAATCACCACGTCCCAAAGTTTGAATGATTTAAGCATCATCCAGCGGCATACAGACAGACGACGGTTGCAGCTTTCAGCCAGCAGTGTGTCATCTGAGGGCTCAAGCAGTGAGGGAGGAACAGACAAGGGTGGGAGTGTACGGCTGCTGTGGTTGTCCATGTTGAAGGTGAATTTCTTCTTCATTCTCCTACTACAGCACTGGATTATGTCAACAGAGATGACTGATGTTCCAGTAATAAATACTGCCTGTATTACTTTCACTCTAGATGCCCAGTCAGCTCTGGAGATTATGTGTGTGTCACCTGCTCACATGGTTCTCCATTATAGCTGAAGCTGTGTTTTATACAGATTTCATGGGGCAGGTTATTTTCCAAGGAGACCCCAAGGTATACACACAAGCACACACATACAGATACCTTCCAAATCCTATCTGTATTGTTGTTGAAGCACTACCTGACATCATTTGGTATTTTGTATTCCTTGGAAACCACACAGTAGTGCAGTGGACTTAGCACATTTTACAATTTATGAGTATGAGGCACTAAAATGTCAGTGGAAGTCAAATCGTCAGTGTTTCTACTTTTTTTCTTTTTTCTTTAAGGCACCAGCCAATTCCACAGAGCTACAAAATTATCACAAAGGAGTACAGATGGGCTGCTGGGGACTGGTGGTTTATGCTGCTACTGCTGCTGTCTGCTCTGGTAAAACTCAAACAGCTTCATTTTTTTTATAGAACTATTCAGCTAACTACTCAGTGAATGACAGTTTTTCTCCACCCAGCCATCCTTCAGAAGTATCTGGATCATTTTGATCTCAGCATTAGGGTCATCTACATTCTTGGGACTCTGGGATTCTCAGTAGGTGAGCTGACTTATTAGAATAGTTGAAATATGAGTATAAATGTTGTTAGCCTCTGTAAAGTTACTTACGGATTGGATTCCCTCTCATCTTAGGTACTGCAGTCATGGCAATCATCCCTAATGTTTATGTTGCGATGGTGATGATCAGTACCATGGGCATCATCTCCATGAGTATCTCCTACTGTCCCTATGCATTACTTGGCCAGTACCATGAAATAAAAGAGGTATGATCACACTTATGTTCCTGGTGCATACTAAAACCATTATGGTCAAGTCTGAGGTTGTTTGACCAAATGTGCTGTAATTCAGTTCAATTCAGTTTTATTTATATAGTGTCAAATCACAAAAATTAAAAACAATCCTTATATTTAAAATTATGTTAATATCCCCAATTACTTTTGAAAATGATTGATGTGTCTATAAATGGCTCCAGTTTTTATAGTTTCTAAACAGTTAATGCAATAATTCAATTAAACCACTTTAATTAATTACTATTTGTTTTGAGCCTCTTCCCCATTTATTCAATTAGAAACATCGGTCGTTTCAGTATAGTTACAGTCTTTCCTGTCATGCTTCTTTTCTCAGTACATTAACCACAGCCCAGAAAACACTCGAAGAGGTTTTGGGATTGATTGCGCTATTTTAACCTGCCAGGTAAGTACTGTACCAAATTAAGCTGACCCTGATGCATAAATTCAGGTTACACTGAGCAAAATGAGAAACATTCAAAAGTGAAACGGCATGTTTAGGTTTTTGTAAATAGTCTGGTTACAGTATTTCCTCTTTCAGGTTTACATCAGCCAGATTTTGGTTGCATCAGCACTTGGATCTGTGGTAGAGGCAGTTGGCAGTGTGCGTGTCATTCCCATTGTGGCCTCTGGAGGTTCTTTCCTTGGCTTTCTTGCAGCTTGTTTCCTTCTCATTTATCCTGATTTGGAGCCCAGCAGCTCAGAGCAGGACGAGGATTCGGTGGGTTTTCCTGGAGTAGAAGACCAGAATGCAGAAAATACCAGTGAGCAGACACAGGCTCTGCTGAAACTCACAAACACAGATACAGAAACGGAGAGTTTGAATAAGATGGAAAACCACTCTTCTACCTGAGCATGACCATACAAAGACTTGCTTAGGATTATGCTCATCAAGCAGAAATCACAGGATGTGAGGTTTTTACCAAATGCATCTACCTGATTTACAGATTTTACATTCTGGACCTTTCTGAAGGAAAGATCAGAAAAAGAAAAAAAAGACATGGCAGAAAGTTAGGTCCATATTAAGATATCAAGGTGGAGCTGAGCTGGAACAATTATTTGCTTTGTGTACTAACAGAAATAAGTATTTCAGTTTTGATATGTTTCATTTGTCGTACTACCTCAGCTCTAATGCAAATAAATTTCCAGCTGCTTAGATTTAAAGAAGCCATTAGAATACCAAAAGACAAATGACAGCTATCTGTTGTGACTGTTGAAAGTAAATTAGATGGTACTACTGAAACAAACTTTATTGAAAAATGGATTTAAGAAGCACACAGGGCACTTTCTGTCTCTCTTCTGAATGCTGATGCTGCAGAGTAAAGTAATGTCTGACACTTTACATCATAGAAGCTGTTCTATAACTGCTTAATAGACAATCACGATGCTGTAAAAATTATGTGTATTCCTGCATTACCTGCAGGCTAAATACAGATGCAGAAAACATTTTCCAATTTTTTGCTGAAGTGCCTTGAGATATTAATGTTGCTGGCTTTAATGCAATGGGATTCTGTCATTTAGACATAGGTCACTTTAGCTCACTCAGTATTTTGTCATGTGTGCATAAGGTTTGTTGCATTTGTGAAAACTGTTGTTGTCAGTATTGTCTCTGGCAGATAATTGGAATTCTCTTTGGGCATCTGAGAGGTTCCATAATGCATCATGTGTGTCTGTTGTTGACCACACAGAGACTTTCAGAGTTGTGGAGACTTTTTTGTGTTTACTTGAACGAAAGCATTTTTTTTTAGTCGCACCATTGAGATTTTATCCTCAGTTTTTCAATTCTGCAAACGAAATCTAGGCTGTTTTGAACTTGAGTAAGTTCATGAAAATCAGATTCCGTGGCAGAGTTAAAAATGTGAAGGAAAGCAGACAAGTGATCATTGCTGAAAGAGGTTGTTTATCTTTATTTGTTAAACGTCAGGACTGAGAATGTTTGTAAAAAACATCTCTTTATGTGTGGAAGGCTATCCTCTTTGAAGAATAAAAGAATAAAAATCCAGCAGTCACACTGACTTCAAGTGAAAGTGTAACAAAGTGAGTCAGCGCTCTTACCCTGATGAAGTTAGCTATTTTAGCCGAAACATCAACAGCATAGTTAATTTTTAGCAGTGACTTACACAACACCTTCTGGTGTATTTAATAGTGCAAAAAATGCCAATTTCAGTTCTAGGTTCATTTCTCTCACTTTATACTGTATCTGATTCAAAAGTCAGATGTTTTTTCCTTTCAGATTTGGACAGCCATCGCTTTTAACACCTGCCAGTTTGTCCCAATTCAGCCCCCAGCTTATCTATTCATGCAGTTACCTCCGTGAACAAGTAACTCCCTGTCACAGTCCCTTTCATAGAGTGCATTTCTGCCAGCTCCTTTGTAATCTCACACTCTTTTGTTATCCCACGTACAAAGATGAGAAACTGGGACACTGCGGACCTAACAGCGCTCATCCCGAACTGAAGTGAAAAGTTAAAATTGTCTGGCTAAAGCCTCACATTTTTCACAGTGTCCTTGATCTGTCTTGTTACTATTTGCATATTTTCAAATGCTTCTTTTATCTCAGGGCTAATTAGCCAGGCAGAGTCCACCAAATACTCTTTGATAAACTCCTCATCTGAGAACATCCTACTAGTGATGGGTAGACGAGGCCTCGTGAAGCGTTTCAGCACATTCCCCAAACTGTATCGATACTATGTTGACACAGTGTTGTTGTTTTGCTCCATACTGACACCTGCTGGACCTTAAATATCATTGCAGGCAACTTACTTGAGACTCACAACAGACACTGATTCAATGACCTACTCATACTTGTATACTCTGTAAGGTATTGTACTTTCCATGGAATCATTTTATATCTTTTACATTTCAAATATTGTAGGCATCTTTAAAATATATTGTGAATGACATTAAGTGAAAATTAAAATGAAAGTATTGTGAATGTAATATTACCCATTTAAATGTAATTGACTCAGCGTTTATTATAAATTTCTATTCAGAAAAATACGTTTATCCAATGTTTTTACATCAGTACATTTTTACATTTTTACATTTTACATTTTACATTCAGTCTATTGCGTTTTTTTGACACCATTTCCCCAGCTTTGGAAAACACACGCTCACGGGGCACAGATGAAACTGGGGTACACAAAAACTGTAAAGCCAGGTGGAAAAGGTTCGGATAAGACGTCTTCCTATTCCCCCAGTACGTTAAAGGATCCTCTGATCTTGGAATGTTTCTCTCTGCCAAGTAGCTGGACCTCAGTGATGGAGTCCGCTGTTGCATTGTTGGTTTGTCTGCCAACTTCTTCATCGAGCTGCAGGTTTTCTGAAATAATAAAAAATGCATGGCCATTTTAGTTTTTGTCATCTACCCCAAATTAGTACACATTAGCATCAAAATAAATGTAAGAATAAGCTGATAATACTGAACTTGTCTGGAACAGGTGACTGCTCTGATGAAGGTCCAGGCTGTGGCTCAGATGCTGTGCGGTACTGCAGCACACTCCATTTTCAGGCGACTGACTGCCTCACTACACTTGGAGGAACTAAGAAATCCGAGTTTTTTAAATCTGGGGTCTAAAAGGGTTGATAGGGTCAACACACTTAATGACTCCAGGTTAGAAGCAGTGTCTGTGACATGACGCCTAAGTTGGTCATGGAGATGGGTGGCTGTTTGTGTGCGTAGATGTAAAGAGTTCCGGTCAAGTGCACAATAAAGCATTTTCATCATCGGGATGATCTTTGATCCTGAAACTCTCCTCAGACAACTCCACTGTGGCCTGATGGAAAGGGGCCAGCACAAGAAGTGCTTCCCTTATGATGTTACACTCATCAGCCGTAAGTGGAGTTAAATCTGTTGAAGAGAAGCAACAGATACCCAGACTGGTTCTTTCTCATCATGTAGCCGTGACAGCATCTGATACGTGCTGTTCCAATGTGTTGGTACCTCGTTGATAAGTTTCAAGATGGGCCGTCCCATCTGCTGCTGCACTTTGGCAAGCTTTTCTTTGGCTGTAGTGCTGGATCTGAAGAATGATACGATTTGTCTAGATTTGTCTCTTATGGATGAAAGTTCAGGGATTTGATCACATGATTTCTTGACTAATAAATTTATTGCAAACTGAATGTCGACTTTGGAGAGTTCTTGTTGCTGCAATCATGTTTGGTGCTGTCGGTCAGTGGACACCTTACCTTATTTGTGATGGCCCAGTCATCCATCATGCCTGTTTTGAATTGGGCCAAATTGTCTGCAGTGTGACTTTGTGGAAAGTGTTTCACACCCAACACAGATG